GGGAACAACTTTTGAAGCAGCCAAACAAGTCTTCCGACAGCTCTAATTCTTCAACCACAATCTGTACGGGAGAGAGCTGGTTTGATGTAATGATTATGGCATCAGGCAGCAATTCTTATGACACCAAGCCAATAGGGTGACTTAGAGCCACTCTCTCTCAGGCCTGGGAAGGGGCAATGACAATGCATTTCCCAAAAATTTTACCAAGGAAACTGCAGGGAGTCAACACTAACTTGAAGACACAAGAAAAAAAACACACCACCCTGTACAAGTCTCTTAAGGAAGCATTTGAAGATGAGAATCACAATTCATGTTTATAATCTTAAATACTGGGATGAATAGAAGCTATTTTAGATTATTGAGACTTTTGCTCGCATCACTTTAACCAGGCAATCATTTTAAAGCACTGATCCTCCCTCTAGTGGTTATACTGCTGTCCTTAGATCTTCCAACAAAGCTGGCAATAAAATACCTTCTGGAATTACCACAGAGCTTTTCCTGTAAAAAAACTTAACAGGATGAAAGCTGCTCCACAATCATTACATAATGATTCTCATTATTCTATAATCCCAGTTCAGTCTGTAGAGCAAATGGTATTGTAATATTACAGGTAGTCCTCATTTAGCAACCACAATTGGGATTGACAACTCATTCATTAAGCAAAACAGTTGCTAAATGAACCCGTGACTGTGCTTATGATCTTATTTCAGCTTTCCTTTATGACCTGCAAAGATCATAAATACAAGGATTGGTTGTAAAGGTACTTTTTTATCACAGTTGCAACTGCAAATGATTGCTAAATGAGGCAATTACTAAACAAAGATTACCTATAACACATTACATTTGTTTTTATTCAAGAGACTGATTTTTATGTTAAGTAAGCAGCCCATATGAATGCTTGTTGTTACTTTCAAATAGGCCGTATTAGCTATTGTTGGACTCCCAATAGTTTTATCTGTAACTGGGTTAACATCATTCCAAGCACCTATCAAAAGGGCACAAAACAATTTACTATCTTAAATTTTCTACGATTCTTCATCAGACCAGACAAAGAAAATGGCAAGCAAAACTTAGCCCATGAGCTTTACCCATGAAATGGACAGACAGCCTCAAGATAGAGATTGTAGTCTACCTGCCCCCGTTTTTGAGAGATATTATTGGCACTGGGTTATACCTGGTATTTAATAACAAAAGTGATATCCAATGCCCTTTTTCAAATAGTGAGCACACAATGCCATTTTCATTCTGCTTCCTCTTGGAAATAGATAGTGGATTTTTGTCCTTAGGATCCAACATGGGTATAATTGTTATATAATTTTAATAACAATGTTGTTTTGAATTGAAGCACGAATAGCAATAGTAGCAAGAACTTTTATTAATGCCATTTATTGGTTTGGTTTTTATGAGTATTCATTTTATCGTGTTTACTGTAAATTACCTAGAATCTTATGATCAGGCAGCAGACACATGTTGGTAAATGAAATAAACAAAAAATATACCACTATTATTACTCAAAAATGATAGAATATTTTTACATCAAATACAGCCCCAAAATAAATAGAACTCATTTTTCACTATAAAAAAATTAACTGCATTTTAAATTACCTAAACCACAGGTGTCAAACTCAATTGTGTCACATGATGTATTGTGATGTTTTTTGCCTTCGCGTAGCCAAGGTGAGCATGGCCTGCACATGACCCATCCGGCCCACTGGTAGCCAGTTGAACATCCCTGGACACATATTCATAATTAAAGCACATTGTAATCTCTTTGGTTATGATCCTAAGGATATGAGACAGCAGCAATTCATCTCTAATCATAAAAGTAACTTTATCATAATGACAGCAAATTATCCAGTAAATGTTGGGATAATGCCAATTAATATGAAATCCACTAAATGATACTTAGATCAGTGTCAGCCAAGGCACAGGAACATTTTTAGAAGGGGTGACAAATGCATGGCTGACTGTTACTTTACTTGTGAAGTTTAGAACTGCATTACAGCAAACCAAAATATGAATGAAGAAATACCTGAGAAAGTATCTTCCCTACCCACCCATTCCATCATATCCCACTTCACTATTTAAAGCATCCTGTCTTAGAAACAGTGAGAGACAAATCAAATTTCAAATATTTTATTTATTGTACAAACTATTTACATGAGAGGCTAACATAATCTTGCTGAATCCTACCTGAAACTGGCCACTGGGAACTAGCCCTGACCAAGCTAAAGTAATAGGTCTTGATATTAAAGCATGCAAGATAGTCTTATATGTAGGGTATCCTATGGTATCCAATCCAAGAGACAGAGATCTATAGGAGCCTACACCACAAACTAAATCTCTATCCCTGGAATTATTCCATATTGGGTGAAACAAACAAGGACCAAAGAAACATTAAAACTTATTCAACACTCACATGTGTGTGCATACACACTAGAATTGGTTTACAGCACAGCCTGCATCATAACACACAAAAAGAACTGGAGTATTATGACAGGTTTAGGAAAGAATAAGCAGCAAGGGTTTATGAAAATGCACTGAAATTATAAAGTACTGGGAGAAACGTGACCCCGTTAACTAAGGGAATGCTGAGATGCACAAAGAGTATATTATTAGCTAAGAACAAGGGGCATCTACCACTGTTTTGACTCTGCTTACGTAAAAAGAAAATCCTTGGCTTCTGCAAAGAGGCAAGAAGTGCCAAATACATTTATTAATAGAGTGGTTTCAAACAGAAGGTGTCTGCTGAATATCCAGCCACTCAGTCCTCAGTTTAAAAAAAAACTGAGCTCTAGAGAAGAAAGAAAGGGATTCCTGAGGAAGATGTAGCAGAGCCAGCCTTCAGCCATGCCTGGGAATGCCCTTGGAAGGTCATGGAGCAAAAGAAAACACTGGAACAGCATCAAGAAACACCCCACCCTCTAAACCAGCGGTTCTCAACCTATGGGTCGCGACCCCATTTGGGGTCGATCGACCATTTCACGGGGGTCGCCAAGCAAGGCTGTCCGCCATTTTTTTCCCCTTTTCCGGCGGGTGCCTTACCTCCCTTGAGCTGGGCCAGCTGGTGGTCGACCTGCTCCGTCTCTGCCGCTTGCCAGCTACGCCTCGGCCGGCGCAGGGGGCGGAACCACGCATGCATGGCGCTCCCGGGCAGGGAAAGTCCTTGACTTACGACCGGTTGGGTACTCCTTGACTTACGACCGGTTTAGTCCTCGACTTATGACCGGTTTAGTCCTCGACTTACGACCGGTTGGGGGTCGCGGCATTAAAAAGGTTGAGAACCACTGCTCTAAACCATCACCTGGCTGAGCTGTGCAGCATAGGCTTTGTTTGGTCCCCCGGATGAGCAGTGGGCAATGAATGTTTCAAGGCATTTACAAGCCTTAATTGCACTGTCCAAAGAATTTATTCCTAATACAATCAAGATTGTACCTATTTGATTTAAGCACTTGCTTAAAGGAGAAAAAATGGCTGCCAATGGGAAAAAATACAGTGTTGGTCTCTAAAAATGCCCCCCCCCCCCAAGGAAGGGATCCCTGAATTGTTTCAATACTCAGTATTCCAACAGTTTTGGCAAAATAATGGCTTGAACTTCTTTATAAATGTGGTACACATTCAAACTAAGAAAAAGTTAACAGTATTCAATGAGGCAGATTTGCAAATTGTCTTCTTTCTTATAATTTGCAAATGATTCAAATGATGATGGAGAAGTAAACCACAATATTAAGTAATATCATAAGATATACCCATTCTTCTCCAGAAAATTAGAGCCTCAGTGTGTAGCAGAATGACTTATTTTAGTAGGTAATGACACTATAATCTCTAGTCGTTGATATCTGTCTCCTCTGACCAGAATAAATGCACTTTAGGTGCCAACAAAATACTCGGCTTTATTATCCAATCAGAGTTTGGCTTTGTTGACAAAAATTGGTTAAGTTACCAGCTGGGATCCCTGAATTCCCACTCGTTATTGCCAAGGAAATGGGAGTGCTAAAAGTGTTGCAACTGCAAAATACTCCTCAATAACATAGGACAATTCACACTGCTGTCCCCTTCTAGTTCAAACAGTAGTGCACTGTTTTGCCTTCCAAGCCCATTTCCTCCATGTCAATAATAAACACCTTCAATATCATCTCCTAAAAATATCATGGAATGCTTCTGATGCAGAACACAGGAAAGAAAAATGCTGGAATAACTGCCTTCTTTAACTACTCTCTGCCTGACTCAAGACACAGAAATAACATTTTTGCTACCATTGCCTGAACAGAGGTTGCTAACAAGTGGCTCCCCAGAGTTCCTCAATTCAAACTCTCATGAGCCCTAATTTCCACAATCAATTAGTTGAGCATCCACGGGAGAGATTGCAGCATCTGGAAGGCCACAATATTCTCTACCTTCACTGGCAAAAATCAGTGGAAACCCTTCCATCCTTTTACCAGCTCCTCCTCCACCTACTGGGTGGAGGACCAAAATCACTGTCAAGGATTAGCACTTGTGCTCCAGTAATAGAATTCTTCTTCACCAACCAGAACAACAAGTGACAGCATGCAATGCAAGGTGGCTAAGAAAATTAAAAGCTTTCCTGTAACATCCAAGTAAAAGAGGATTGCTTCCATGAAAACTTAGACCAACGCATGGGAAGGTATGAAGACTTCCTGTAATCTGGGGATTCAGGGCTCCCAAACTCATCTAGTCATCTCCCCAAAGTAACGAGTTATATAACTATCCTAGTCTTCTCCTGTACCAAGCTGCAACACTGGTTTGCATGGTTCCTCCCTTCAGAAATACCAGACACATCATACCCATGAAATACAACTCCGATCTCACTCCATAGGTGAACCCCTATACATGACAGGTACCATGCTGAGAAGACAGTGATCAGCATAAGACTCTGAATTGTTCCAATTCACGTGGTGCCTTTCTCTGTTCTCTACTGCCTTTCAGATGGGCGAGAGAAGGATCTGTGAAGTAAGACTGAGCCTTGCCCTGAAGAATTAAGGAAGGTAGTGGGTTCCTCCAGTAGGTGTCAGAGCATACCAAAGCCCTCACAGCCCTCACTGATGGCCAGCTGCAGCATCTTGTGCATGTCTTCATAAGAATCATAAGTTGGGAGGCACAGCTGGTTAAAACTGAAAGAAAGAATACAGCTTATAGTATAGAATGTGAAACATCAAAACCTATGCTTTCAGTATTTCCTATGCACAAAAATAGATATTTAACTACTCACAGTACAATACACCATTGCAAATCTCTAGAAACAATTAAAAAAAACTTCTGATTATCAGAAAGAAGCTTGCTACAGATAACAAAGAATATCTTAGATAAGATACACACCAGGTATGGGCTGTAGGAAGTGTACTGTGTGTTGGAGCTGCAATAATTTGGAAAGATGGACAAAGTGCAGAAAATCCTCCAGGAGGCAGCTGAGAAGAACCAGTGGTAAATTGCAGCAGTCTAGCCAGCTCCTCTTGTGTAAAACTAGACACTACTGTCCAAAACCAGCGCATCACCTGGAAGGTTCAGGGAAACAAGAAGAATGCCAAATTATTAAGTGAGGACATGGGCATGTTATTAAATTTATAGCAAAATAAGCACCCCAGGTTCCATGGACAGCCAATTCTGAAGAAGATTTAACAAGTGAATTAAGATGTCATACACAGAGAGATACATACAAATAAATTTAAATTACAAAGAAAGTACACATGTTTAAAGAACATTTTTAGGTTTACACATAAAGAAGAAATCTATAGAAAATTCAGCCACACAGCTTATTGTTTAATAATTATGTTTTTAATTATACCTCCCCTCATTTATGAAGTATTTTTCTCTTTTTCATAGAATATCAACATTGCTATTATCATCACTGAGATGGAGGAAGGAATTCATGCTACCTTCTCTCGGAAGTGCCACGAACCACCCACTACCACAGCGTGTGCTTTGAAATCACAGACGTTGATATCCCCTGTGCCGCACATGAGCAACTGGAAGAAAAGTAAACATCATTTTCTAAAAACAAAAAATCACAAAAACCCTTCTGATGTTTTTCTTTCAAACCACACATCATTCGGTGAACTTCAAATGCTCAAAATTAAGACTAGGGATATTTAATAGCAAACTCAGATGTTGAATTGCCTACATAATTATAGTCAAACGACATCAACCAATGAATAACACAGAAGGTCAGCATTTTCACAAGTATCTGTAATTTGCAAAATATTCCTTTACAAAAATATTTTTTTAAAGTATATATAAGGACCAAGCTTAATAATCTCACTTTCTTCCTTACTGTAATATTTTTATGTGAAACTTACGGTGTCCCAAACTGCACTTTTTTCCGCTAAATTTCAACAGCACAAATTTTCAAAGTGTGGGGTGGAGGGCAAATGGCTATAAGCAGGGAAAGATTTTCTACTTGTGAATTAAAGCACAAAGAATGATTCAATTTTCCAGATAGGAAATTACTCAGATGTCACAGAAATATATATAAAACTCTGTACTTTCCAAACCACAGTAGATTTTCTGCCATAAAGCACTAAGCATATGGCAATTTGAATAAATGTTTAAGTTATCTTCAAGGGCAGGGTTTTCAATTTTTTGCAAGTTGTAAAACCTGCACCCTCACCATTAAGCATTAGAAAAAATAATTTAAAAGCCCCTGGCTCCATTTGAGTGAGTTTTATTTTATTTTTTTAAAGCTTGTGGCCTTTCAGGAACCCAGGGTTCTATGGAATATAATTTCAAACATCTGAATGAATTTGCAGTATCAAACAATACTACTAAAAAGCAATACAAGGCAAAAATAATGTTGGTTAAGTCATATATTTTATACAAACAAGACAATCATTTATAAATGGGATTCCAGCACCAACTATTCTACTGTCTCATATTTAACTGAGAATATGCTCCTGTTAATAACAAAGTCCAATTTCTCACCTCAAGTTCATTTTCATCAAAAATAGCCAAGAGGTTTTCAGGAACCAATTCATTGAGACCTAAAAGAGAGTAGCATAGATGAACAACCACAACAACTCGCAAAGGGCATTAAAACCCAGATCAAACTTCCTTTTTTCTTTTCTTTTAAACAAATAGTCACTTTGGAGGAAATAACAAAGAAAAAAAAACAAAGCAAAGCAAAACAAAGCAAAGAACACATTTTGTGCATTACCTTTCAAAAAATGTTCCATTTCTTCTCTAACTTGATTGGCTAATCGATACTGCGCAAGCAGATTCAGGTACAATATTTTATTCTCATTGGTCACTGGCATTTGAGCACCCCCAGTTAACAGTTCAACTATCTGGAAAAAATAAAGAGAGAATGTCTGGTGGGTGAAAACAAATACATCTGTTTCATATGATATCCTTTCCCCACTCTAAATGGGAGACAACTAAATTGTATCTTTTCTTGTTTGTTTGCTTGTTTGTTAAATTTATTTATTGTTGATCTCACCATGGGGCTACTATAGGCCAGCAGTCCCCAACCTTTTGGGTACCAGGGATCAGTTCCATGGAGAGAGGTTTTTCCATGGACCAGAGGGAGTGTGGTTTCGCATGCTGCCTGTATCCCACGGATGGGGCTTCGCTTGTTTGTGCGGCCCGGTTTTTCCGTACGGTACCTGGCTACGCCAGGTACCTGACCCCCAACCCCTGGGGACGAGATCCGTCAAATGTTTTTATTTTTGTCTCTTTACTTTTCTTCACATTTGTTTCACTTCATTACCTTGTCATCTTATTTGTTACTTTTTCTTTCGTTACCATGTCGTTATACTCTTATTTTCTAGTTGTCGAATAGTTGTTGACTAAACTCACCTTCTCAAGCTGTCCAGCTCTGTTGTATTTTTCCTCAGCAAAAACTAACTCCATTTCATTCACATCATTATTCAGAATAAAGCAAACTTTAGATTTATAGAACTCTGGGTCATCTGTCTCAAAATACTGAAAGAAAAACAAAGTGGAAAGAAGGACAAGATAGCAAATAAATTTAAGACACAGTGCAAAATCTTGATCTCTCCTTTATTTTCTAAAAGAAAATCAAAAGATTAAGAGTGGTTTTTACCTTGTAGTGCATTCTTAATCCTATGATCTGAGCCAAGAACGATCTTGTGAATCGAGCTTTCACCAGCTGCTTATAAGCTCCTCCCAGAGATGACTCATAAAGACACTTTCCAACCAAGCGCCCTGCAAATTCATATATCTTCAGTCTTAGATAAGAAGGTCGATTAGGATTGGGGTGTACCTACAAACAAGAAAGCTCACAATCAGAATGACAATCAATAGAGCAGGGATGGACAATTAAGTTTTCCAAAGAGCTACATAAGAATCTAGAAATGTTATACGGGGCTGCCCCCACTGCCCCCAGTCACCGTTGCCAAAGGTCAGACAGGGACAGTTGAAGGGGCAGATGTGGCCTGTGAGCCATAAAATGCCCATGTCCGAACTAGACTTAGAACTTGGAGAAGCATGCAACTGTTTGGTCATAAGCCACTGAACAACAACAAAAAAAAGACAAATACACTATTTCCACTATGATAAATAGAAAGGTACCCACCAGTGCTTGATTATTATCACTGAAGCGAGTAAATAGTTGGTTGGTTGTGTCAAACAAAACTTTACAAATCAGTTCAAACCACTCTCTACGAGGACCTCCCCAATCCAAGGCTGCAAGGAAAAAAAATAGTTATATCTTAGGGGAACCTAGGCATTCAAGAATACAGTGATCAAAGAAAAATATATTTCTAAACATGATGTCTTTTATTACACAGTGCTCAACTGTAATATGACGCTCCAAATTTCTATCACTGTGGGCGTCTACAATTAGTTTTTATTTATTAAGCTTATAACTGTTCTTTTCATTGAAATAAATAACATAGTTATAAATAAAATTTTAAAACCAAATTCATTTCAAAAAGAAACAAATAATACTTGTCAAATTAAAACCTATTTCAGCAACAAGTCAGTTGAGTCACCAAACATGTTTTAGTAATATTTTTTTTTCATGCAGGCAGAAGGGCAATAGAGCTGGTCTAGCCTCCCATGGCACAGAGTTTCCGAGACTGGGAAAGCCAATATGAAATCTTCTCTTGTGTTTCTCAGAGAGTGTGGCATGAAGAGAATAATACTCTATATCCTCCACATTCAATGAATGCAGCAATTGGATTTAAGAAATTGAATGATTGTTTTATTCAGCATCATACTTTGGATTAGCAATTTTTTTTATGTACCCAAATGTTGTCTATGGAAATTCTCAATCAATCAGGTCATGGTTGTCCCAAAGGTGACAACTGAAGAAACTTCTTGGATGGGAAGCAAAATGTTTCCAAGGAACAAACCAAAAAAGTCCAGTTGCCTTTTGGAAAAGCACCTTTGGGATACCCAATATTGTTTTATTTGTAAAATAAGAATTGTTTATATTGGAGAGTACACTCAAAAATGTTCAATAGATATAATGAAATCTATAGATATTTTGGCTTTTGCTCAGTCATTCAGGCCCTAGTCATCTCACGGCTAGATTACTGTAATGTGCTCTACATGGGACTACCCTTGAAGAGCATTTAGAAGCTACAGCTGGTGCAGAATGCAATGGGGTGGGCAGTTCTTGGGGCCCAAAGATTGGCCCACGTAACACCACTGCTCTGCAAGTTGCACTGACTACCAGTCTACTTCTGGGTGCAATCCAAGGTGTTGGATTGCAATCCAAGGTGTTTAAGGCTCTTCATGGCATGGGTCCAGTCTACTTGAGGAACCATCTCATCACACTGGGATTGGCCTGTCCCACCCATGCCAGCAGAGGAGGCAAGCTATGGCCCTGTCGGCCTGATTTTTCTGGCTAGCAGGGTCCAGGAGAAGGGCCTTCTCTGCTATTGCTCCTGCCCTGTAGGACATTTTGCCCACAGTGTGAGGCCGGTTCCAACCCTCCTGACCATTTGTACGAGCCTAAAGAACTGGCTCTGCCAGTTAGATTGGGGCCCCAATGGGGAAGCATCACAATGGAGGTACTTGATCAATTAACAACAGATCCCATCCCCTCCTCCCCACTCTGCCCCTGCCCTCCCCATCTGTAACTGTGGTAAGACGAGCAGCCAATAAATATTAAGTTATTTAAAAATAAATAAATAAAAATAATAATAATAAAATAAATGAATGCATTGCAGGAAGCCAAAACAGACAGACTTTAACTTTGCTTTCTTCAATATCATAACAAATTAACACACCTTCTTCATCCTGAAAAGTCACTTCAAAATTTTTGCTCCAATCAGAAATAGAAAAATTCCGTGTGGCTTTCAGAGACTATGAATAAAATAAAATCAAGACATATCATGAAATCTGATATTTAATCTATAAATATTGTCAATGTATGGATTTTCTCCAAAATTTCTATCTTTTATCTATAGGAGGATTGGATCTACCTGATCTGAAATTGCACTTTGTAGCCTGCTGTGTGGTTTGGTTGAAGGAATGCATGCTGCTGAAAATAACAAAGCTTTTGGAGATAGAAGGGCACATCCTGAGATTTGGGTGTCATGGACAGTTATGGTATGATAATGTCAAAGTTAATGTGGACTTTATGTTAGATGTACCATTTTAAGTATATAGAATAGATACAATCCAGATTGGGTCCGAAAACAACTTTGTGGTTCTCAGCCCAAAATGCATTTTATAGACAAGATATAATAGGCAAGCACAAATGGCTAATTTATTCTGAGATACAGAATTTTATCAAGGGGAATACAAAATAAAATCAAGAGAACAATTGGACGCAGAGGGATATAGTTGCCAATGGGTTTTTTTATTTATAGTTATCAGAAAAATTTAAAGTAGACAACAAAGTTTTGTGATAATGAACAATGTAAGACTGATTTTGAAACAGAATTGTGTATAGAATTTGTGTAAAACAGAAAAAAATAAACTTATAAACTTATAAGTTTTCATGATTAGATAGATTATAGAAAGCAGAGTCATGAACTTTAGAAAGAGGTAAATTTATAATTGAACTTATAACTGTTGTAAATAAAAATGAAATTCACTTCTTTCTGTCTTTTTTCTTTTCTAGTTTTCTTTTACTTTTCTTTCTTTCTTACACTTTTATCTCTTTGATTTCTTTCTTTTTCTTTTTTCTTCCTTACTTTCTATTACTTTATATTAGTTTTTACCTTTAGTTTTAAAACTTTTAAATAATTATATATTTTAAAAAGAATTTGTACCCTAAATAGTAATATATTTTAAATTATATATTGTTGTTATTCCTTCTCTAGAATAAGTATTTTCCAAAACTTCTACATTAGACATACTCACTGAATCCAGAAGATTAGGGCGGCTGACTTTCAAAGAAATTTTGGAATGAGGTTTCTTCATATGCACCTGACGTAATTCCCTCTGGAAGAAGTTCACTTTGTCTTGAAAAGTCTCTGAGCCTCCTAAAACGAAAAGGCCCAGAATCACGTCTGGAACTTTTCAAAGTCCTCATGAACATTTTTAGCGCAAGACAGAGATTTCTCGGCCATAAGAATCTTAAAGTAGCAATTATGCTTTATCTCTGAAATCTATTAACAGATAACCTATGGCAGATCATACATAATTGTATTTAATTATTTGATTTATATAGCTGCCCATCTGAAGTAAATGACTGCAAACACCTCACAACATTAAAACAATTAAACATATACAAATATTAAAATAAAACATAATTGAAACAGTTTATTTTTCAAAAGATTTATTATATAAGAGCAAATCATGACAAAAATAGCCCTAAGCACTATCTTATAGAATAGGGAAATAAAATTTCTATTTATTAACATTTTCTGTCCCATTTTTTCTCTTTCCCCATCTGAATTTTTATGCACACGGACATCCATTCACACACATAAGTTCTGCATATTAGAGCACTGTTTATATTCCCCATTCTGGAACCACGAGATTTTTATAAATGCAGAGAAGAGATAAATAATCTCTCCAAATAAAGAAATATCAGAATGGGATTAGAAAGCTTATATGGTATGCAGAAAGATATATAGTTGGTCTATAATTATACATGTCTTAGTTAAAGCATTCTACTCGTCTTTCACACTGATGAATTAATGTCACGCCAAGTTTCGCCTTACAAAGCAAGATGGGCAGCAAATGAAAGAATGAATGAATGAATGAATGAATGGTACAAAATCTATCAGTGGCACAAATGCTTATGATTCATTACACACCAACCACTATAGCCTTCTGCTCTGACTCCTTTTACCTATATTTTTATGCAGAGAACGTATAAAAGTAGCCGCCAAGATGTTCCTCTCTTTGCAGCTCAACTCCACAGGAGGCTGAATCCCATCATCCACCACCAATGTCAGCAATTTGTGTACAGGATCAGGCCCATGATAAGAAAACTAACACCAAGAAATGGGGGAGGGGGATGGAAGAAGGAACCATCATTCACCAGAAAGCACAGCACATGAAGCAAATGCAGTTAGCAGTGTTTGTGCATATTCCCTTGCCCCACCCCTTGTTCTGGACTGGCTAGCAAAAAAGGTGATTTATAAATTCCACTTCCCACAGAATGAACCTGTTTGCTCAGGGAAGAAAGAGAAAGTTACAAGGAGAATGAAGTTGAATGACAGGGTGCAGGATGTAGTACAAGACAATACCACAGCAAGTTCCCCAGAATAATCTAAAATGCCATCTAAAAATCTCATTTAGGCTTGCAAATGAAATAAACTATTTGAATCCCCTCATGCCACAAACTTTCTCAAAACAAAACATGCCCCACCACCTAGCAAGGTGTTCCACAAACTCACTTTGGTGCCAGGACATACTCGGAAAGTAAAAAGACGCCAAGGAATAATCTTCAAGTAGAATTCCTTCACTGAGAATTGCTTTGAGGCAAAGAAAACAGAAATCGTATTTTCATGAATACATTATTCTGAAAAGATGTCAACAATGAACAAGTCCATTCTTTTTTTTAATGTAAAAAAAGTAATCTAAAATAGGCTTTAGCCACAACTCAGATTTGTAATCTCTATAACTAATATAGAGATGAGCCATGACAACATGAATATTTCTGTCACCTTGTAGAAAAACTCCGTAGCACAATACACCTGTCCTCATAACAACCACACTGAGACAATTCTAGAAGATTACTGCTAATTAGAAACATAACAAACAAACAGTGACAATGAGAATCGTGTAAACGTAGTTATTGTCTGAATGGAAGACTGATAAAGAAGCATTCTTACTTTGGGTGAAACGTAGCAATAAACTTTTTTGGGTTTCTTCATTTTTTCAGGGGTCAGGCTATCAGAAGGAGAGTCTTCATCCTCATCCTCAGTAGCGGTGGAAAGTCGTCGCTGAAAAGAGCCCAAAGGCAGGGGTGGAAGATGCCACTGGGTGTTGGCATAGCTACTAGCGTTATACAGGTAGGCTTCAAAGTAGATACTGACCCCTGAGGTAGAAACATTACGCTCTACGATGTTCTTTTCATCCTCTGCAAGATGGACAGGTGTAAAGTGTAACACAGGCAAAGCTCAGAATGGAAACACAAGTTATGAAGCTGGGTTTTCAAAAAGGTTGAAGATCTAAAATATCATTTTGCAGTGCATATGTTTTATTGTTAATGAATAAGGATATTTCATAGAGAGCCAGTTTAGTCTACAGTAGTGGTTAAGGGATCAGGCTAGAAACCAGGAGACCATGAGTTCTAGTCCTAACTTTGGCACAAAGCCACCTGAGTAACCATGGGCCAATCTTTCTCTTGGAACCATAGGAAGAAAGAAGCAAAGCACTTCTGAAAAATCTTGCAAAAAATGGCACTTTTTTGAGTGGGTTGGTTTTAATGTGGGTTGAGTTATAGGCTGTGCCCACTACTTCTGACTCTTCCAGTCATTTTCTGTTTCAAATCTTGCCACTCCATGACGAAGGGAGGAGGAGTAAACATCCAGGAACAATTAAGGAACATTGCAAATATTTGCAAGCCCAAATATATTACCTTAAATTTCAGATGCATTCAGATGCATGTCTAAACAGTGCTATACTGATATCAATGGAAAATATGTGTACATTTTCAGTATTTTGGAAGATGGATTCAGAGAAGCAGAAGAGGTAAATGAGATGGAAATTCCTCAAACCCACTGCTTTTCTACTATAGATTTTTTTTTATCAGCTATAAACTATAAACTATGTGTTGGAGTGATTCATTATAATTTGCCAAATTTTCTTCAGACTTCATATGCTAAGACTGCATATCAACTATGAATTCCAAAACACTTTACTTATTCAAGGAATGCAGGCAACAAAGTCTATAACGTTTTATTTTAAATATCTTTATCACTAACAATTTCAAAAAACTAGCAAGGAAATAATGACAATGCAATTTTCAGTTTCAGTTGCTTGGAAGGCCTTATTTTTATGACAGGACACAAGATAATCAGAAGCCAAAAGGCAGAATGCAAGGATTAGATTTGAGAAACCCAGGTTTTTAACCACAGTATGAAGTGCACAATGTTGTTTTGAAGATTATATACCAGGCTCTGGAAGAGCTACACAATGTATAAAAAACTATTCACTTACCACTGAGAACAATTATGTCAAACTCTCCATTACTAATAGGCTGGTTTTGGTAAGAGATGCAGGCACGAAAGCAACCCCTACGCAGTAGGGTGAGTCTCAGGAAAACTTGGCAAGTCTGTTGATTGGACATCACAGACTTTTCAAACAAAACATCAGAAGGCTCTTCTTCCTGAGGTCCAAGCTAGACAAAATAAATATGGGTTAGGAGACATTGGTATGCTCTGAAGTTTTATGTGAGAAGACATACAGAGCCCACTTACTTCATGGATCAAGAGGCTGTAATTGTGCTCATCTATCAATGATACTGAGTTGCTAGTAGGGTTATCATATTCATCTCTGGGAACTATTTGCAAAGTGTGTGGCTGCCCACATGTCAGCACCAGAGTGGAGAAATGGCAGGCAATTTTGGTTTTTGAGGGAACTACCATCCCTGAAATAAGAAACACGTTGCACAAATCCCTTATAAAATTACGGTATTTGCAAAGATGTATTGACGTGTAGAAATAGGATTGATACTAAATGAAGCAACCAGTGTTGGCTAACAAACAAAAACAAACATTTCTACACCCCAAAATGAATAGAGTGAAGAAATCACTATTTCTGGGTTATGGTAATAGGCACAGAGTCAACCCAATGTTTCATGGAGTAACACATATGATAGAACTAATTTCACATTTACATAGCTTGAAAACAGATTATTTGAATGTGGCAGAATTTTTCACTTCCTTGGATAAAATTATTCATGGTGATATGCACCATAAATATTTAAGGACAGAATATGTACCAGGAGACCAAATGTGTAAATTATTAATTCCAGACAACTATAGCGAGTACTATGACTCAGGTTATAGTTAAGTTTGGTTCTGAACCTCTTCCCAGTGGATTGTGTTTATTCCATCTTTTTAATTTACAAGGAATCGGATGCAATTAAGCAGATATGTTGACAGGCAAAATATAGTGGTGAAAACCACAACATGAATCTCTGTAGAGTCGTTGGTGCTCCCTGAGCTTGTTTTATTGCAGACATCTCATTACCCAACTAGGTAACATCATCAGTGATGGGAGTGGGGTTTGCTCTCTGTTTATATAGTAATGGCTTGTCCTATCGGTGTTGGTGGTTCCTCGAAAACGATGTTGGTGGTTCTTTGTTAGCTTGGTTGTCTGAATTGGTAATTCCTTGATTGGGATATTGTTTACTGCTTGATTGTTGGTCCAGTTTAATTTTGTTTATTTTTATTTATTTATTACATTTATGTGTGCCCATATCATTCAGAGGCGACACTGGACAGCTTAAAAACATAAAAACTAGTAGACATTAAAATGATAAAACAATAAATAACAAGAAGTAGAGTTAAAAGATGGGAAGGAGAGGAGCACAAAGTACATAGTCTTGGTGTTGATTGCTGGCAAGATGTTTTGTTTATTTGTTTTAACAAAGAAACAAAAATATAAACAGAAAGCAAATCCCATTCTCTTCTATCACTAATGATAACTAGTTGGGTAACAAAATATCTTCAAGAAAGAACCAAGTATGGAGAGCATCAAGGACCCCACAGCTCAATCCTGAGCTACAAATATTCTCTTCTATTGGTAATAGGAATCTCAATGAACACAAGTTAAGAACTCATTTTAGGGTTGTTCTATGAGTATGATGGTAGCAGCAAAGAACTATTGCTCAGTCTTCTAATATAATTAGTTTATTATTTCCCATAGGCGTGGAATATATTCTACATTCGTCAAAGGGAAAATATTAAGAAATCTTGAATTATGTGCATCAGTTGGATTGTCTTGCATAAGGTCATTAATCAGGATAAACATCTTATTATCAAAATAGCATGTTTATCCTGACTAATGACCTCATGCAGGACAAAATGGAGTGCAAAGCTATTAAAAAAAATTTCTAGAAAGTGGATTAGTAAAACAGATAAACAAAATTTGTCATTTTTATGGTTCCACCATACTAAAAAATAGGGTTTTTTCCTAAGTAGGTATTCTATATTTCAGTGTGTCCATTAATTAAATTCTATCATAAATTAATGCTTTAATCCCAAAGCTAGTAAAGATGTAATCTGCTGAGCATCATCCAATATAGCCATGACACTAAATAAGTATGGACGACCAACATTAGGGTATATTATCCCCAACTATTTGTTTTTGCTTTAAGCAAAAACTTACCTGGTTGAAATACTTTGTAGTATGGACTATACGCAACATTCAAGCCTCCAAGTTTTACACTTATCTCATACCGCCCAGCTCTGCGCACAGTGAATGCCACCTTTACCACATTGGAACTGGGTTCTTGAAGCACTTCCTGGGTGACAGGAATATCTATTGCTAACTCCACATGGCAGATGTGAACTCGCAGTCCAACAGGATGATGAGCAGGGAAAGGCTGGCCATTCTTATAAAACAACTGTATGGGAATTAAGAAGCCAAGTGAATAGCAGACTGCAAAGACATTAAGTTCTTACATTAGCCATTAAAAGATGCAGTAAATTAAAATCATCTTGCTGACATTACATGAGTAGTGGTGAAAATCTTTGCCTCAATATACATACACATACATACAGTACAAGATCCAAATTTGAAGTTGCCAATTAAGATAAATTAATAAAGAATAAAGAAAGAAATATTCTTACAAGGGTTTAATAATGTCTACATTCAGCACACACAACTCTGTATCCAAATATGTGGTTAAAGACATTTGCAGCACAGAGAATGTTCAATACATATAATGATATCAAAAAAAAGAGGTGCAGAAGGAAAAGGAGAAAAAAAAATCACCCTTATTAGGAGTTTTTTTTAGTTTTGTTTTGATGTTGTTCAGTTGCTAAGTCATATCTGACTTTTCACAACCATGCCAGGTCTCCCTATCCTTCATTGTCTCCTGGAGTTTGCTCAAATTCATGTTTTTAGCTCTGATTGCCTGGATTTTTTGTTCTGCGCTTTCTCAAATCGTCATTAAAATGAAAAAATCCTCTTACATGCACTCGGAAGGCCATACTACGTCCCACCTCACAGGGATCCTTCCAATCCCAGAAGACTTTACAAGAGCGGGGGTCCAAGTAATTGCCTCGCACATAGTCATAAATGGTACGTTCTCCTCGGCGTTCCCGGTCCTCATGCTGGAGGAAGCTGACTACACGTGCGGCAAGCTCAAAGAGGAACTTAATGGTGAAAAAGAAAGCTACCACAGATACCACTGTGATCCCACCTGCCAAACAGAAAATAGATAGTAATTATAGGATCCAACAAAACTCTTAAAATCCATCACCATGGCTATTTCGTATTACAAGTAATCCTCAATTTACAACACTTCATTTAGTGACTGTTCGAAGTTACAACAGCACTGAAAAAAATGACTGATGACCATTTTTCATACTTAAGATGGTTGCACCATACCCATGCTCAAATTATAAAAATTCAGTCACTTGGCAAGTGACCCATATTTATGACGGTTGCAGTGTCCCTGGGTTATATGTTCACTTTTTGTGGCCCTCTGACAAGCAAAGACAATGGGGAAGCAGTATTACAACCATGCTACTAACTTAACTGCAGTGATTCACTTAACAACTTTGGCAAGAAAGGTTGTAAAATGGGGCAAAATTCACTTAACAGTGTCGCTAAGCAACAAAAATTTTGCGCTCAATTGCGGTATTATAGTAACTTTGGATGAGAATTTACAATATTTAACCTTGAAGTAAACATTTTATAGGGAATCGTTTCAATTAACAGGACTAAAATAAAAATCAAGCCTTCTAAGATATTAAAGTTCCAGATTATCCATTTTTTATTCTATTATTAGATTTTTATTACATCTTTATTTAATTATGTATAAAGAAGATAACTCAAATGGTAAACATATATAATACTCCTGCCTCCTGTTTTACCCACCACAAGCAGCTGGCTTTCATGCCTATGGCAGGCCTAGCATTCCCAATGAGACCTTAACCACTACACCAAACTGGCTCAAGAAATAGAATTGAATAGGCTCAATAGTGTTAGCAAAACAGATACCGTTCACAAAACTACAAGTAGTTCTTGACCTATTGCCACAATTAGCAACATGGAATTTTGGTCATTAAGTAAGTCTTCAAGTGACCAATTTAACAATCATTTTTTACTGCAATTGTTAGGTGAATTATGTGGCCATTAAGGGAATCATGCAGTCATTAAGCAAATCCAACTTCCCCAATTGACTTTGCTTGTTAGAAGCCAGTTGAGAAGTTCACAACTTCTTATGATCATCGTCACAACAATCATTTGACTACAAACTGGAAATACTGTAAACATGAGCCAATTATCAAGCACCCAAATTGCGATCACGTGACCATGGGGGGGTTGTGCAATGGTCATGACTTAGAGGATGGGTCGTAAGTCACTTTTTCCAAGGCTGATATAACTTTAAACAGTCATTTAAAAAATGGCCATAAATTGAGGGCTACTTGTAAGTTAAAAGAATGAAATCTTGAAGGCTCATTTTAGATTCTATGAATAGATTGTCTTCCCTTACCAATAATGTAAAACATTAGGTCCTTTCAATGAGACACACAGCCGAGGATTACAGCTGCATCTAGAAAGAAAAAAACAGATCTAAGTCAAAGCAAAAAATCTAGGTGTATTTACAAAATGTTTAGTCTCCCAAAAACACAATAAGCATTCTTTGATTCTTTAACTTGCATTTAAAAAGAAAAAGAAACATGGTGAGATCAGCTGTAGTTTTTGGAAATACAAGGTTAATAGTTTTAAGGGTTAAAAAACTGACTACCAGCAATAATCCCCGAGAACTCTTTTAGTTAATTATTTATTGTTTTTATATACTACACTTTTCCAAGAAATGGCATCCATGATCCTCCTGTCCTAGAATATTAATATTTAACATGCTGAAATGTCTGCCAGGTAGCTGAAGATTGTCAACAAATCTGATTTAAGAAAGAAGGGAACCCCACAATATACATATGTAGAAGAGACCTCTTCCCTTAATAGATTAAGAAAGGCACCAAACTAAGATTTTAATTCTTATGAAGGTCATTATGGGGAAGGCAATATTTTAGACATCCAAGTTCTGGATATTCGGTAGAATACAAAATGTTTCACAAGCAACATCTTGATGGTTAAAATGTAAAACATAGACTAGCAGAATACTGTAGATTTCAGCACCCAAAAATGCTGAATGAAAATGCTTTCATCTTCCTTCTCATATAAAGGAAGGCTCTGGTATTTATTTATTTGTTTGTTTGTTTGTTTATAAACCATGTACCCCATCCTCACCCAGAGAATATTTAAATCTTCAAGATACTAAAGCAAAGCATAGATGCCAGCAAATCCCATGGCAATAGGAATCTAACTACTTGCTATCAAGAGAACAGGGTTCAGATGTGTAAATTCAGGGGACAGTGAGACTTGCCAATACATTTTATAAGCACAATATCTTACAATAATGCCACCTAGTAACAGTAACACCTTCTGTTATGTTGGAAATCTGTACTGGACCTATTCCTATTCTCTTTACCAAGACTTACTTCACAGACTGCACAAGCATGTTCCACATCCCTCCAGCTAATTGAAAGAATTACCTTTATTCAAACTCCCATGTCCAGAAAGTCAAAGTGGGAGTGCACATTCCTCTGCACCTTTATTCAGGATAGACACCAGGCAGTATCCATAGGATCCTGGAAATTACAATAGGAGCTCAGAGCCAGGGAATCAAAAGTAGCAATGAAGTGAATCATCTCAAGAAGTGGCACTCTGCATTATCAGACCATGAAGCTCTCAGATCATTTTCCTGAAATGAAAACAAGGAGTTGCAATCATTATGTATATTACATATGATTTTTTAAAAACTATAGAAGAAATTGGATTTAAAAAAACGGTCATTCTTTGATTCTTAAACTGAGAGAGCCAAAGACAGAGCATAATATCAATGAGAAAAAAGGCATTATGATCATACAGAAGGAGTATAAAATAAAGCAGATTCTCCCTTGACTCTTATTTATAAGTAATTAATAATAAATTTATAAATAATAAATAAATTAGCCTCACAGTATTTTGGGTGGGGCAACTAAAAAAGTTAAAAAGTCCAACAAAAGGGCTACAGCAAACCACTTCAGACCTATTACCAAGAAACCTACAAGTGAATCAAGCTTCACCTGAAGGAGGCATGCTGACAGATGTATCTGAACTGAACAGGGAGAGAAAGGCAGTTGTGTTATGCACACTCCATGCAAATAAAATGAATGGTATGGTTCTTCTCCAAGCCATCAGCAAAGGACTCATCACTTTACTAACAATTTAGCATATAAAATAATGCAAGGCAGAAGAAACCTATGGTTCCTTCTAAACAGCATTCAGAATACAGGTAATCCTTGACTAATGACCGAGTTCAAAATGATCATAAGTTGTGATGGTTGTAAGGCAGGTCACCCACATGATCGTACCCAATTTTACAACCTTTTTGGTGGCAGTCATTAAGCAAACAAGAGTCACCTTGAGGCAAGATGGGTGACAATCAAATCAAATCAATCAATCAATCAATCAAACAAACAATAACACTACAATCATAAAGGGAATGCCATAGCAAACAAATCCATTTTTCACTGTGAGGCAGTTTTTGTTGGAAATTGGAAGTAACCACTGGTTTCCTGCAAAAACATTGTAAATTGCAGTCACATGACCACTGGTTATTGCAAATGGCCATAAAGTTGCCAAGCCCCCAAAATGTGGTCACATATGGGGTAGGGTGGGGTATCTGGATATCAGAACTTTGAATCTGGGTCATAAATCCCTTTTTATGGTCCATTATAACTTTGACTGGTTGCCTAGGAACTGATCATGAGTTGAGGACTAGCTGAAATCAACTGTCTTCAATATGCTTCAAAAATTCCTTTTCCAAACCTAGTGAAATAATTTTTGGTGATTCTAGTTTATATATATATTTCAATTAGTAATCGAATATTATCTAATCCTTGTCGTTTTCTATAATACTTTGGACTTTTACGTAAGAGTCATATGCTAAAGTTTGCACAATAAGCAAAATTTTCCAAAAGTGGAATTTATTTTTTTAAAGTGTTCTAATCCTCCAAACAATATATGTTCAATACCACTAAATAGGATAAGCATAAGGTCAGGAGGTTTGTCCTGTTCTCAAAGATTTCACAGTATTATTATATATATAATAATATATATAATCTTTAGAAGAGCTCTTTGATTTAAAAATGTTAATTTCTGTGCTCTTTCTCAATTTAATACAGTTAGAAAAATACTGATTTGTCAAAACAGAGTTATTACCGTACATATTTTTCCCTAAGCATTCTCAATATAAAAATGATACTTAGTTCTTGCTGTTTCAATAGAAAGGCCAATAATTTATCTAGTTAAAGAAGAAAAAGAAACAAAGTCCAGAGATTAGATTCCGATATCTCTCCAAGAAAGAACGATCAAATATAGGCAAGTTATTCCAGTTTGCCTGGAAGTTTTTTATGTCTGTACACACAATCAAGGAAGCTAATAAAATGCTTGAGTCATTAGAAACAGAATACATTAAAGAATAATTCAGGATGGGCAGAAGATCAAAAATTAGATGATTGCAACTGTTATTTCATAAGTTTAATTGACAACTGACAATATGGATCCAATCATAATATAAACAAACTGAACACTCCATTCAATAGAGAGAGAAAAATATTTACTATATGTAGGAAAAAACTTGATGCATTGATATTCATAATACAACAGATAAGAATCTACAGGCTTTAGATACTCAAACTAAATTGGAATCAGCACTGTGATGCAAAAGCTTAAACAACAGTTCTGGACTGCATCAACGAAAACACAATGTTCACAAAAGATAATAATTAAATTGCAAGAAACAAAATAGAATGTTATCAAGAGACCAAAGGTCAGGCCTGTCATGCCATGCTTCAATTTCCTGCTACCTCAGTCATAAACATTCCTATTTCTTTCTCTTTGAAAGTTATCAGAAACTAATAAAAAGATTTATTTTTACATGAATCATTCTGAGATGACATTGCCCAGATCAACGAATTGCCCAAATTCATTTCAAATCTGACAAACCAAAATGTAAGTTTGATTCACATAGCACAGAATTCACAGAAAGAGATTATTTAGGCCATCAAATCTAATACCTTGGTCAGTGCAGGAATCCAAAATGAAATATCGACAATAGATGGTTTCTCAGCCTTCTTTTAAACATAACCAATGAAGGGGAAGCAGGTTAATTTTCTGAGTAATAGTTTCCACTGTGAAACTGCTTTTACTGTTAGGAAGTTTGTTCCAACTTTCAATTAGAATTTTTCTTGTTAAAAAGTATATTTTGGGTCATACACTCTGGAATGACAGCAAATAGATCCTTTAAAGGTTACAATAATTGGAAGCTTCTATTGATATAATATTTACAATCAAATTCTACAAATGAAAAGTGTGAAATAATTCAGATGTTTTCTTCTACACACCCACTTTCTAGCTGACAACACAATACTCTTTTCAATATTAAGAGTTTTTCACGATTTTTGATAAACCTCTCAGTGAATATTTATTTTACATTACCACCTGCTTATTAGTAGCAAGCAGTCTGACTCAAGGCAAAGTTTCTTTACCATGCAGAGAATGCTGAAATCACAAGCATACTCCGATATATGCTATTCCACCATACTTCACCAGATATGCTGGGAAACCATTCCCAGTTGCATCTTTCTATTGAGTTTGTACAGTGATTATAACATTGATGCAGATTCCCTGTTAAAAATATTTCTGAACAGAAAATGCAGGTTGCAAGCAGTCTGTAAATAAAGTGAGATTATGTCACAATAATGCAAGTGGTTCTGAACACCAAAATAGAAAAATACTATTAGATACATAAAGTACTTAAAATACAAAATTAAACATTTGTTCATATACTAACCAAGCCCCTTGTGGTATAGGCAATTAATAGTTTTTAAATGAACAATTGGATAAACATAGAGTTCTGGTGAATTTTCAAAATAGGTCCAAAACTATCTGCTGCAAATATCACTTCACCTGCCATACTACTTATAAAATATGAAATACTAGGAATGTTTTCATTAATCAGTATTTATCACAATAATTTTACTTCAGCCTATGTTTTAGACCCACCTTAGTAATTTACCATTTTTTTAAAAAAAGTGGGGTAGTTTTTAAATGGATAAAAAATGTAACCCTACTTAAAATCAATTATTTATTTAAAACCAATTATTATTTAGTACAAGTAACCAAGTGGATTATTTAGTACAAGTAACCAAATATTGCAAGAGTAACTTTACAAGAACAAATTATTATATGTATCTAAAAATTACTACTTTATGAAATAATATCTGACAAGGACCAAGCTGATACCTATATTATACAATAATATAATAAATGAAAGTAAATTATAAGAAATCAATTGGAAATGATCCAATAGACTATCTAACTTCCTGCAATTTGTATGCTAATTTCCCCTGAATTTCACAAAAACAAGACCAATGTAGGACAAATTCTATATGGCAAGTCATAATATATTTCATACAATGAAATATCACCTTCATAAACATCCAATAGTAAATTAGCTTGTTGACATTCCATATAATACTTTGAAGAGGGAGAAACCCTGTAACAGAACTTTTAGTACAGTTTTTTTCCACTCACATACTAAGAAGTAAAACCGTTTTCATTACTAGCCTGACATGCAGAGCAATTTTGACACTATCCAAATTAGAATTGCACACCGCTTTCCAGAACAATGAAAAATATCTCACTGCATAAAGCTTGCAGACCACAAGACAGAACTAATTATAACAGCAGTACACAATGAAACAGTATTAAAAACTAAAGCAACACCTAACAAGGCTATTTGCAAAACACAAAACATAATTTTCCAAATCAAATAATGAAAAATATTAACTGGCTTTTCGGGACAAATTAAAAAAAAAAATGGAAAGTGATGGGAGGATTGTAAACCAAGGGGAAATTATGAACTGATAAATTTAAGGACACCTCTGCTTTCCAGTTCCTCCTTTCCTAACACACGAGCGGGAGAGGATATTCATAATTATAAAACACTGTAGCAACACACCGCTTTTCCCTCTTCTCCCGGACGGAGGGAGGGAAAAGTACACTCGTGCGAGGGGAAGAAAAGAAAGCGAGAGAACCAAATACCCCAGAGTCAAATTTCCTTCTTCTTCCCGGCTGGTTAGAGAGAGAGTTTGGAAACAAACGAGCCAACTGGGAGGATTCCCATCTGAGATCCCTGCAGCCTCTTTTAACTCTGCGTGCGGTCGGTCCTACCACCTGTTGCTTCCAGCAATCCTATTGCCTGCACTAACGAAAGCAAAAAGCCAGAGGCTGCCCGTTTCTTCCAGAAGGGCAGGATTTTCTTAACGGACCGCCCTCTTCCTGCTCCAGCTACTTCCCTCTTCCTCCCGTCCCCGTACCAGGTCCTCCTGTCTCTCGCTTTCCCCTGAAGGGACTCGGCGCCTCAGAAGAGCAGACGAAGCGGAACAGGGTGGAAGCCGAGGTAAAAAAATGCAAACAGTCGGTCTCGATTCTGACGCTCCCTTAGCAAAACGGAACCAGGCTGCTCTAGCCTCTATTTGACGGCAATGACCGGAAGTGATGCATTAAAAGCGGGACACATGTGCCGCGCGGCGGAAGTAGCGGTAGAAAAGTTTAGTGGTGTTGCCCACAGCGGCTGCATCGTGGGAACTGGGAGATGGTGAGTACCGATCTTGGATTTTAGAGCTATAACAGGCAGAGCTGTAGTCTTAATGGGTGGCTGGACATATGCGTGATCTTTAGGTAGTGCCTCCTTTGGAAAAGGTACACCAGAGCAGTTCTCTTAATTTCTTTGATTAGATTCCTACAGCTCGCTATTACATTATGTGGCTTGGTGTGAACTCAGCTCCCCATCTCAGTATTATATTTTAGGGAGACTCATTAGCGCTGAGAAGGAAGGTGAATAAAAGAAATAAATTGGTGTATATAAAGAAAATGGGTTTCGTAAAATTATCATGAGCAACGTTCACCAACGCCGATCTCACCAGCCATAGTGGAGAGTACAAGAAAGTTGCACTCTGGGTCATTGTAATCAGTTAGTTTCCAAAGCATGAAGATAAAGGTGGGATATAGTGGGCACATCGTGCCAAGATTGATTGATATAATGTCTTTACTGTTAATAGAGAGTAGTATGGGTACAACTAAGAATGGTAACCTAGTCTTCACTTTTTATCATACTTAAAATAATCATGCAAAAGCTTCAGTTGACCAAAACCATGATGAGTGGCAGAGATCAATATTTATTGGCCGTTCTGATAACAAACATGGAAAATTATAGTTCGTAATGAAATACCAATTTATGGAAAAGTGCACAAATTAATGAATGGAAGGAAGAAAATAGATTTAACATTTAGAATATAGAATAGAAATAGAAATAAGAAGAATAGAAGAGAGTAGAGTAGAATAGAATTCTTTATTGGCCAAGTGTGGTTGGTCACAGAAGGAATTCGTCTCCGGTGTATAAGCTCTCATAAAAGTAATACTGATAATCATGATCATATACAACAAAATACATTCATCATAAATCATGAAATACAGCACATCATCATAAATCATAAGATGCAACACTTAGTGATAGTCATAGAGTACTAGCTAAGCAAACAACATAAATCATACAAGCAGCAAAGTTATAGTCATAAGAAGATAAGGATAGGTAATAGGAAACATGAGGCGTACCATAGTAATACAGCTTTACTAAGTATTTTGACAGTGTTGTAGGAATTAGTTGTTAAACAGTGATGGCATGGGAGGGGGGGAAATTGTCCTTATGTCTAGTTGTTCTGGTGTGCAGTGCCCTGGCCTATAGCATCATTTTGAGGGAAGAAATTGAAACAGTTTATGTCCAGGACTTGAGGGGTCTACAGATATTTTTACAGCGCTCTTTCTGGCTCGTGCAGTATACAGGTCCTCATTGGAAGGCAGGCTGGTAGCAGTTGTTTTTTCTGCAGTTCTAACTATCCGTTGAAGTCTGTGTCTGTCTTGTTTGCTTGCAGTTCTAAACCAGACAGTTATAGAGGTGCAGATGACATAATAATTCCTTTGTAGAACTGTATCAGCAGCTCCTTGGGCAATCTGAGCTTTCTGAGTTGGTGCAGGAAAAACATTCTTTGTTGTGCTTTTTTGATGACATTTTTGATGTTAGCTGTCCATTTTAAGTCTTGAAATATTATAGAACCTAGAAATGTGAAGGTCTCTACTGTTGATACTGTGTTGTATAGTATTGTAAGAGGTGATATTACAGGAGGGTTTCTCCTAAAATCTATCATTTCTACAGTTTTGCATGTGTTCAGTTCAAGATTGTTCTGGCCACACCACAAGGCTAGTTGCTCAACCTCCCATCTGTATGCAGATTTGTCGTTGTATGATCTGCAAACTTCAGTACTTTAACAGAGGGATATTTTGAAAGGCAGTCATTGGTATATAGAGAGAACATTTATCTTACTTAGCAACAGAGATTTTGGGCTCAATTGTAGTCATAAGTCAAGGATTCATATTGTATTTGAAATTTTTTACCTTTTTTACATGTCCACAAAAATAAAATGTTCTTTCATGTTCACAATTTAAGCATACATTTAAAATCCATTTATACATTTTAGACAATTTCTCTTGTGTCATATGCCATTGATGATAATTTTACAAAAATTCTGTTTAAGATCATAACAGAATGTAAATTTCAACTCTTTTAACTACATAATTTCTCACTTATTCCTCTGTATATTATAATTAAAATTCTTAGCCTACTTTATCATAAGCTTGATTTATTCCTCCCATTTCAAAATTCAACAAAAGTTTATAGTTTAGCAATTACATGTTCATCATCTGTACACAATTGTACTTCAAATTTGTGTTATGTTGCTCTATACCAGGGGTAGGCAACCGTGGCTCTTTTATGACTCGTGGACTTCAACTCCCACAATTCCTGAGCCAGCATGGCTCAGCTTGGAAACTTCTCCCTTCCCCTCAGCATGGCTGGCTCAGGAATTCTGGGAGTTGAAGTCCACGAGTCATAAAAGAGCCAAGGTTGCCTACCCCTGCTCTATACCATAAGTGTTTTTATTCATTTTGAATATTTCTGATAACTGTAAATAAGAAAAACATTGACAACTATGACCATTCCCCTTGATAAAATTCTAGTATCTCACAATAACATTTATCTTTGCCTATTATTTCTTGCCTTAAATGCTTCTTATGCTAAGAGGAATAAAAGTATTTTCAGGCATAGCTTAGGTTTCTCAATATGACACAGCTAATAAAATGATTCTTAAAATGCACATTCATTTCAGCTTTATCACCAAAAGTATCCATGCCATCCAAACCTCAGGTTGTGGTCTTCTAACTCTAAAAATCTCTTGTTTCTCAACTATACCCATTCTTTTATCCAAACCAAACCACAAATACAATTTCAATCTTCCTCTTTCCTTTGCATCTTGTAACACTTTATATTTAACTCTTGGCTTTTCCCCTTGCCATACAGATATATCTTTCCGCCATTGTTTGAATTGCACATCAGTTGTCAAAACAAGTACTGTTTGAAACAAAATACATTCTAGCAAGCATTCATTTTTATCACAGAAATTCTGCCTAAAAATGACAGTTTTAATTTCTCCCATCTTATTATGTCCTTAATTTCCATGTCTTAAAATAAAATAAAATTATTTTGAAATAAGATAAATCATATTTGTCATAATAGCAGTCATTTGTACTTTGTCAATCTTAAAACCATTTAGAATACTATTTCAAAAGAATTCATTTATTATGGAATGAGAATCCACATTTAATCTTCTTGATTAAAAGCTTGATTTTTGGAATCAACTGAGAAATTAAGCTTTGTATTGTAACAGTAGTGAAGGCTATTCATCATTTCTTCACAATATTAATTTATCATTAACTTTTCCTTTCTAGGGGAAACAGAAGAAAGCAAGGAAATATGCTACCATGAAACGCATGATCAGCCTTCGTGATCAGCGCATGTGAGTTTTTTGTTATCACTTAATGGTAACAATTGTTGAAACATTTAATACAAAATACTCAAAGTTTTATACTAATTATATGTATGATTCTATTTCTTCCCAAATTTTGCCTCTGAGTAATTCAGTTAATTTTTAAAAATAGTATGTATTTATAAATCTTTTGATATTTTAGTAAAGAGAAAGACAGAGCAAAACCTAAAGAAAAGAAGAAAGAAGATCTTAGTGCAATCAAGGAGACAGAAGTGTGAGTACCAAATGATTCCTACCTTTATTGACTGATCAAAGAAGTTTTATGAGATATATTAAGATCTAAGTTCAAACAATTTTCTGTGCAATTTTGGCAGTAATACAGTATTTCAAACTCATTAGTATATTTTAAAGCAGGGATCCCCAACCCCTGGTCCATGGAGCGGCAGCAGTCCGCGTCATGCCAGCAACTGGGCCGAGCAAACAAGGAAAGCTCCATCCGCAGAATGCAGGCAGCATGCAAAACCACGCCCCTCCGGTCCACAGAAAAAACTCTCTCCATGGAATCGGTCCCTGTTGCCCAAAAAGTTGGGGACCACTATTTTAAAGAATTCATGATACACTGCTTAGATCTAGCACAACATTCTTTCACATAAAGGACTACGCTGCAAGATTAATTAGTCTAATTCCCATTCCAATGCACGAACCATTCATACAACTCTCTAGAGATCATAGATCAATGTATGTAATAGTTTAGTTCATACAATGAATTGGGGTACCCTGTAGCTAAGAACTATATTATAATTTAGTCATAGTTAAGAACTAAATGAGACCCAGTTCGGTGTAATGATTAATGCAGCAAGCTAGAATCTGGAAGACCAAGAGTTTTAATCTCACCTCAGGCAGCTGAGTGACCTTGGGCCAGTCATTTTCTCTCAGCCCTAGGAAGGAAGCAAGGGCAAACTTCTAAAAAACGTCCCAAGAAAATTGCAGGGATATGTCCAGATAGTCTCTGAGAATTTGACAGAAATGAATGAAAAAGAAAAGAAACCACCACCAATGAAATACGCTGTCCAAAGCAAACAGTGCAGTGTATCAAGCCTTGCAAAGTATTAGAAATTGCAAATAGATACTGTTAAGTAAAAGTGCTTAAAAATAGATAGGTTGGGATGGTTTGAGCAGCCATCCATATTGTGCATTGTAAGAAAAAAAAAATTCTTTCATCATTCTTTCAAGTGAGAACTAAATGGTGAGCTAGATGACTCTGAAGGAGCTGGGATGGCATTGCAGCAGAGATTGGCCAGACAGCAAATTCTGGTCAGAAAAGTCCCTCTAAACAAGGAGAGACCATGAGATTAGGAGACAGTTGCTTCTTGTGAGGAGACCACAGAAATTGTGGCTTTTGTGATTGACTTATGAGTCAAGTGGCTGGGAGTCATGGATTTCATATAATTACAATCTGGGCTGTGATGAACATAAAGGTTGCAAAAGCCTTATCTTTTTTAATCACTATAGGTAGTCATAGACTTATGACTACAATTGGGACCGGAATTTCTGTCGCCAATTGATGTGGTTGTTAGGCGAAACATCATGTGACCACAGGGCTTAGTGAATGAAATGACACGTTCCAAGGTGTATTCTTATGCACTTAGGAAGAAAACTAGAGACCACATTCTGTAGCATTTTAATACTACATTGAAGTCTGATATTGTACAGTAATTGTGCTTAAAAAAACATCCAGTTAGAATACTGCAAGGATAGATAATGTGAATATGCAAAAAAACCATTTGATCAATATTACTCTTTAGTTGTTTTATATGAAAAAGTAATAAAATCAGTGTTTCTCTTTTTCAGCCCCAAATATCCTTCATGCTTATTCTTCCAATATAACACACAACTAGGACCTCCGTATTATATCTTAGTGGATACCAATTTTATTAATTTTTCCATTAAAGCCAAATTGGATCTAGTACAATCAATGATGGATTGCCTCTATGCCAAATGTAAGTATCCAGATCTATATCATTTGTTAAGATTTACATTGATTTTTACTAGTTGTTTTATATTTATATTAATATTTGCAAATATTTCCATGTTTCCTAAAATAATTAGACTTGAGTATTATAAAATATCCTGATTTTTTTTAAAAAGAAAAAAGAAAGGGCAGTCAACTAGCAAGATGTTATAACTAAAATAATTAGTTATTTTTAATTGGTAAACGGAACTGGTAAATAACTGGTAAACAGAACTGTTTTGTTATTCATTCAATCCTGATTCTTCATGACAACATGGATATTATTTTCCCAGGACTGTACAGCAGAGGTCCCCAATCTTTTGGGCACCAGGGACCGGTTCCATGGAGAGAGGTTTTTTCACAGATTGGAGGGTGTGTGTTTTTGTGTGCTGCCTGCATCCCGCAGATGGGGCTTTGTTTGTGCGGACCAGTTGCTGGCATGCTGCGGCCCAGTACTGGTCCACGGACCGGGGGTTGGGGACCTCTGCTGTACAGTGTGTGTGTAATTGCTTCTTTCAATTCTTGTAAGCTCAAGCTTCTGTCATCACTGATTCTATCAAGCCACCTTATATTTTCTACCCTTTTGCCAGTTACCTTTGATTTCTTCAAGTGCAGGAACTTCTTTGGTCCCTCTTGCTCTTGAATTATTTACTCCAAATATTTAAATTTTAGATTATTTATTGGTGTTATCAGTGAACAGACTGGTTTTAGATTATATGTTTAATATTCATCTTGTAGTGCATATTCTCAATAATTTTCTTCATTTAGCATTTCTGATTGCAGCTTTCATAATCATATACCGCAACTGGGAAAACTGTTATCAAATATTATTTTGTCTATATCTCTCATAGCAGCAGTTGTTTTATTTAATGGCTGCATCTCTGGAATGTTTGGCGCCTAGGGAGATAAAATTCTGTTCTATTTCTTCAATTCTTAATGTTTATCTACTTGCAGTGGGTTGGCATGATCTCTTGACATATTTTTTTTAATAATAAGCAAACCAATTTCTTACGTTCATATTCAGCAAGAGATTCCTTAAGAGATCCTTGTTTCCAGTCATTAGCATATCTGAGACTGTTCTATTTGCCCAGAAATGTTTATTTGTGTTTTCTATATTAAATCACATATACATTTTACAAGATTTTTGTAATCATAATAGGGAGCTCCAACATAAGAAATGTCTATTAGAAATTTTGAGTTTTCAAATAAAATTTAAGACGTCTGGACTTTTCTAGCATTAAGAATGACTATTTTAAAAGTTTCAAAAGTTAAATATACAGAAAGTGGTTGTAAGGCTTTTTTATGCCCTTTTGTCTCTAGACTGTACTATTTGAATGTTTATATATCATTTAAGTATCAGTTTTTCCTATCTAATTATACTGAATTGTATAATTGTGTACAATAGAAGATAGTATCATCAAATTAACAATTCAAGCACTACTAACAGTTACTAATAAAATTAATAAAAAGTTTTCATTTTTAATCTAATTCTATAATAGTTATAAATCCCTCATTTATCTATGTATTTTTTCTTTATTGCTGTTTTTTATGTTTAGGTCTGTGTATATATCTTTTCTCTTTTCCTTTTCATTAAAATGCTTACTGAAAGTATTATAAAAACAATAAACTATACATAGGAGTTTAACTGCATCACATGTAAAATTTTGTTTCAGTGCTAGATAGTTATAACATGTACATTTCTGCAGGCATTCCTTGTATCACAGATTGTGTCATGGCTGAAATTGAGAAACTGGGACAGAAGTATCGTGTAGCTTTAAGGTAATAGTGTAATAATTTGGCTCTGTTCTTTGTTATAATTTATCTAAAGTAAAAATATGAAGAATAAAGATTCATAATTTGTTTAGAATATAAATCCTATACTCCATTATGTTTTAATATTTTTTCCATCACTTTCTTTTTCCATGGGTTCCAACATCAGAAAGTTCTTAAAGAGAATAAGCCAAGTCAGTAGATCTTTCTAAATTCCTGTAGTAAAGAGGCTCAATTCTGCTTTCACCTACATTTGAAATATTCATGCCTTTGGAAAAAGTTCTCCCAATTTTTTCTGGTGCAAAGAGAAACAGGAGAGCATTCAAAATATACAGAATAACCGAGTTGGAAGGAACCTTGGAGGTCATCTAGTCCAACCCCCTGCTCAGGCAGGAAACCCTATACCATTTCGGACAAATGGTTGTCCAATCTTTTCTTAAAAGCCTCCAGTGTTGGAGCATTCACCGCTTCTGGAGGCAGGTTGTTCCACTGGTTAATTGTTCTAACTGTCAGGAAGTTTCTCCTTAGTTCTAGGTTGCTTCTCTCCTTGATCAGTTTCCATCCGTTGCTTCTTGTCCTGCCTTCAGGTGCCTTGGAGAATAGCTTGACTCCCTCTTTTTTGTGGCAGCCCCTGAGATATTGGAACACTGCTGTCATGTCACCCCTAGTCTTTCTCTTCATTAAACTAGACATACCCAATTCCAGCAACCGTTCCTTATATGTTTTAGCCTCCAGTCCCCTAATCATCTTTGTTGCTCTTTTCTGCACTCTTTCTAGAGTCTCAACATCTTTTTTACATCGTGGTGACCAAAACTGGATGTCGTATTCCAAGTATATACCAAGGCATTGTAAAGTGGTATTAACGCTTCACATGATTTTGATTCTATCCCTCTGTTAATGCAGCCTAACACTGCATTGGCTTTTTTGGCAGCTGTAGCACACTGCTGGCTCATATTTAAGTGATTGTCCACTAGGACTCCAAGAACAGTTACTACTATTGAGCTAGGTACCATGTATACTATACCTGTGCATTTGGTTTTTCTTGCCTAAATATAGAACCTTACTTTTTTCACCATTGATTTTCATTTTGTTAGATAGTGCCCAATGTTCAAGTCTGTCAAGATCCTTCTGTATCTTAAACCTATCTTCTGGAATGTTGGCTATTCCTGCCAGCTTGGTGCCATCTGCAAATTTGATGAGTTCCCCGTCTTTATATTGGAAGAAAATACGACTGTGCCTTTCTTGAAAATAAATGGCAGAGAGGTGTTGTGCTTATATGAATTCTAAAGCACTTTTTCCTAATTATTTTCAAAGCATGCACTCTCTTCATAGAAAGGTATCTTGAATGTCTCCTGAGAAAACGGGCAGCAATAAGTTTCCATCTTCAAATTATATAATACTAAACCAGAAATTGGCATTTTCCCCCTTAATTATTTCCTTAAGTCTTCCAGGACCCCAGGAGATATGGCAAAAAGTTGGAAGCCTTTTTCTTAGTTTGGCACTATTGGGTTACAGAAAATAAATGAATTAAGCTCTTGTATACCTTGTTCATGAACCTCAGGATTTATCAGAAGAAAAAAATCAAAAAAATCAAATTATATTCCTCAGAATTCCTAGCAACAAAGAGCCCATTTAATTAAAGACAAAAATGTTATTTTTTAAAAAAGTTTGTTTTTCATAAAAACTATTCTATTTTTTTCTGTTATAACTCTACAGAATAGCAAAAGATCCACGATTTGAGCGCTTGCCTTGCACTCACAAAGGAACCTATGCAGATGACTGCTTGGTACAGAGGGTCACCCAGGTATTTCCTGTTCTAAGAACTTCTCTTGCTATTCTGTTGACAGAAGAGCTCTTTAATTTGTTTTCATTACAGTCTTTTTCTTTGCCATCAGATATATTTTGCAGACCTAAGAGGTAAAAGGTCTTTTGCATTTTCATTGTTATAGGGATATAGGAATATAGAGCTGTTAAGGGAAATATCACAACTTGAGAGACAGGAAATGACAAGAGAAATGGAGGAGAAAAGAACTGGAAGTTGTTTAAGGAATATAAATGGGCGGAATCCCCCCCCCCCAAAAAAAATACCCTTCCCAAATTGTTTTCCTCATGCCAAGCAGTTTTCACAAAAATAGAAAGAAAATTCCTGGGCAATCTAATTGCCCTGGCTTGCAAAGCAACTTGGCAAAGAAAGAAAGCGAGAGTCAGATTTTAAAAACAGAAATCTTGACCTTCTAGAGGGGCATTATATGTTTAAATACTTTTTTGAATAAGACGAAAAGAAGGCAAGACTTTTAGATATAATTAGACTTTTACAATGAAACATATGATTTAGAATTAAGATAGCATTTTTTTCTTTTTTTTGATATGGGAAATATGAAGCTAGGAGGAGGATTGATTTGAATAAAACTTTCAGCTATATAAATGTAATTAATATTGAGGAAATTATAATTGATAAAGATATTTCAAATACTGATGGGAAAGCAAACTTTAACAAGAGTATGAAAAACAGTATATTAATGAATTGACATTATTGACTTATGAATTGATATTATTGTTATTTGTATATTAGTAAAATATGATGAAGATGCTTATATCTAACTATGTATACGTTAAAAGTACCAAAAATTGTAATGGTGTAATGAAGGGAAAATGGAAAAAAATATGAAGAAAAAAGGAGGATCAGGGAAAAAGTACTGGATTGTGTAATATTGAACAGATTTATATTGAAAAAATTAATGTTAAATATTTGAACTCAGACAACATGTTGTTTACTAAGCACTAAAGACTGTAATTTTTAAAAAATTAATAAAACTTTTATTAAAAAAATAATTTGTTTTCATTACAGTGTACCCAAGAGAAGTTAATATTCAATTGGGTATTGACTTTAGTTAATATTTCACATATCAGAGAAGGCCATGTGACATACAAATAGCTTAAATAATTCATCGTAGCTCTTGAAGTTTGCTTAAAAAATGAAAATTACTTAATTTGGTGTTCTTTTAACCAGATTGTCTCTTTCTCCTATAGCACAAATGTTACATAGTGGCTACTGTAGACAGAGACCTGAAGAGAAGAATACGAAAGATCCCAGGAGTCCCAATAATGTATATATCTAATCACAGGTATGTCAGAAAGCATTATCTAACCAAATAAAATGTAGTTTATGATGTTGCTTTATAATAATCTGAACTTTCAAGAGCATGTGTATATTTATGTAACACACACACACACACAAAGACATTTGTAGACAGTGAATCAATGTAAAGCAAATTGCAAACTCAAAGGTATGGTTATGCGCAGGATTACTTGTGTACATGAACTTTATGGTTCAACTGCATACATAGCCCCTTATGTCAGAAACATTCTGCTTAGATGACATAAAACTAGAAGTTAAATAGTAATCAAAGTCACAATATAATTACATTTGTACATTAACTTAGAAAACTATGAAACTAGCCCATATACACACACACATACTGATCAATTTCATTTCACGCCCTTATTTTATATTTCTATATTACTAATTTAAATATATGTTCATATATTTATTAAATTTGTGTGCTGCCTGATTCACAGTAACTCAGGATATCTGATGGCATGGAATAAGCAATAGTATATAATACTCTTTTATAATTTGTAATTTTTCCTGCAAATTTAGTAATATGTTGCTTCTTCCACTTGCTTAGCCTGAATGTGCAGTACCTTGAACTGCTGTTCTTAATTGTATAATGATAATAAGTGCTTCTAAGATTCTAAATTTGTACTGGCTTAGTACATCAAAGAAAATATAGTGGACTTCATAATTTTTCCATTTTTCTCTTTAATTTTAGGTATAACATTGAGCGGATGCCTGATGATTATGGAGCTCCTCGATTTTAAATATGATAGAAAAAGTGCTGTGTTGAATTCCAGAACACTGAGCCAGTTATAATGTACTTCCAATCTGGGTTTATTTCTTATGGTGCTTGGAATTTGAACTAATTCATTAGACAAGTCTCTTCCAGATAAAATGGACATTCTATTCCATATTCTGGGATCTAGAATAAACATTACTTGTAAATAAGCTTCTGAGAATTTCTTCTTTACTATTAAGAAATTTTCTCATGATACAGCCATTTTACAAATGTTTAATATTCACATATGAACTGTGAAGTGAGTGTTTCAACAGGATTGATGCAAAAAATGAGACACTTGCTTAAAATTATCAAAACACTCAATATTTTGAAATTTGTACAAAGAAACCTCTATTCCATACATATATGATTATTTAATATAAGTGGAAAATTAGAAACGTTGATCCTGGCATTAATTCTAACTGACATGAAGAAGCCAATTTAATATGTATGTAAATAAAAATTTTCAAACCTAAGATGATTGTGTTCAACACAGGAAGTTTCTAAACAAAAAAGCTTTTAAAAGTGACACTTTGAAATATTATAGAAATATAAAATAATTACTAGGGCATTTATCCTATAACAAAGTATTTATATTTTAGAAAATCTTAAATGATAGTATAAAATTGTACAGATAATTAATGGAGCCACTTTTTTTCATTCATAATACTAAATACCAGGATAATTCAGTAAAACTGAACGGTTTAGATTTCGTTTAAGAATATGTTCCTGTGATGAAAATAGAAGACAAAAGGGGGGGGGGGATAAATGGAATTAAATTGTAGTTGCTAAAGAAAGCAGTTTTGTTACAAGATCAGGCCTGCATGCAAAAGCAATGAAAGAATTTTTTTCTCTGAAAACCATCTTCAGCATTTCAAAACTATGGATTAAAGATGACTTCTCAACATCATATTCTTTTTTCACATTACAAGGTATCTATAATTATTTTTTCCTTCCTCAGCTCTCTTAGCAAGAGATGGAACATTACATGATGGAAGCTAAAAATTAAAGATAGCTGCCAGAAAACTGTCTCCAAACTAAATTAATGGTCTTAAATGATGTCATCAATCTATTGAATTTTGAGCTATGCGAGATTCCAGAAGATTTCCCAGGATTTCTGCTTAATAATTATGTAGGTGATCTGCAGTGTCTTCCAGCAACCACCTATGTTTTGAGATACTGTACAATTGGAGGAAAAAGTCGCAAAATACCAAAATAGTTTTTGATAAGTTACTGAAAATTTCTGCCTCAGCATGAAATAAACAGCCAGGTAGTAGTAAACCTGATTTAAATTGGGAGAAAAGAGACGACAATATTTTCCAATCTGGTGACCTCCACTCCATATCAAACTCAAGATTATGCCAAGAAATTGGGTTTAATTGTCCTGCTCAAGTGGAAAGCATCTTTGCCTGTAAATTTAGCAGCAAGCAAAGAACAATTTAGGATCTTTGTTAAATAAGCATGTACTGCATCCAGTATCGGTTTATATGGTAAGAACCATAACCAAGAAATGCTAGAATATTCACTGAGGGATTAGGCTACTATTTCGCAACTAGAGAACAAGAGGCCGGACTACGTGCACCCTTAATCCAAGCAGGCTCTTACATTCTTTATTTTAGTCAGCATTTTACAGAACAAGTTTTCAACATGCTTATAACCTCGTTGGGGAAATTTAAAGGCATGCCTCAGACCTGAAAAAAAGTTCATATGAAGCGTTTATTATTTGAGCGAAATTAAGTTACTCGGTCTCTTTTGATACAGAATCCCGCCTCAATGCATTTGGCCGGAAATCAATCACAAGCACCAATGCCTTAACTCTCACCATTCCCTTAGCTGAGTGCTGAGCCGGAAACACTCTTGCTTAAAGGAAGTCACATCTCTATGACTCGAGGGCGTTAGGCATTTTGGTACGCAGGCGCAGAGGAGCGCGCACCCTCCGTCGCTATTGAGGCCTGCGATTTTTCCCAGCGGACGCCCTCGGAGACCCGTTTCTCGGCTCAATGTTCCCGACGTGGGGTCTGTATGGGGCAACCCCAGGGCCCTATCCTCCGCCCCCTACAATGCTGTTGCCGCCGCCACCTTTACCGGGCGTAATGCCTACCGCCATGCCGCCGCCTCAGGTCCCGGTAGTCCCGCCGCCTGTTTTAGGTAGTTACGCGACCAGTTCGGCGAATGCTGCCGCGACCGGCACCGGGGGATTTCTGAGTCTACGGGAACAGCACCTGGTCCAGCTGCAGCAGCTCCAGCAAATGCACCAGAAGCAGTTGCAATCGGTGTTGTTAAGTGGGGGGCCTCCACCCGGCGCGCCTCCCCCGAATATGCCACCGCCTCTGCCCAGTTCCTCTCTCGCCAGTATTTCCTGGCAGCCGCCGGTGCCCGTCGGACCGCCGCCCGCGCGCAGCTATCAGAAACAATTCAAACACCGCGATCCCCTTCCTCCGCCTTTGCCTCGGGAATCCCCGTTCCGAAATCCCCCGATGCCGCCGCTTTCGTCTACGGATGCGGTTGCCGAGTCATCGCAGCCCCGCAATGAGTGGGAGCCCCTGGTTCCTTCGGCCAGTCCTCGCATGGATATGGACATGGATCTGTCTTCACCACCACAATCACCTTCCCAGTCTTTCGTGCCCCAGTTAGAAGCTGACCCCTATGTACCCCCGCCTCAGCCTCTGCCAGCACAGAGTCAGATCCCACCGCCACAGCCTTACCAGTCCCATTTGCCCTTGTCTCAGGCAGTTCCCAAGGCATTTTCAGACCCATCCTCAGCTGTTTCTCAGTCTTACCCGACCCAGTCCCAATCTTATCAACCCAACTCCCAGTCATCCTCCCAGCTGGGCCAGCCCATTGCAACATCAGCCCCCCAGCCTGAATCCCACTTCACTTCATCCCAGATTACTCAGACCACTTCTGAACCACCAGAATTAAGACTGAGCAGTGGCCCAGAGAAAGAGTGTGAGCAACAGCAAAGCAGCTCACGTGCAGATCTGTCCACAATGACCCCCCAGGTAAGGATGAAGTAACAATTGCAATTTGTCTCTGGACTACAAAAGCTTTTTTTTATATTCAATTAAGTGTTCTAACTATGAAATGTGTATATATAGTAGTAGGACAAAATGTTAGTGACTTTTATTATAAATGGGAAGAAGGTATTAAATGCTTAAATGATACTCCATAAACTTTCATATGCTATTTGTGGAGTCCTTGGTGCATCCTACCTTGCTTGTTTTACTTGCAAACATTTAATTATCCATATAGATAAAATCAGGGCTTTAGGGGCACTAATTATTATAGTGCTGTGATGTCACTGATCATGCCCTACACAATCAGGGCACAGATAAAACATCTGCAAGTAACAACCAAACTCGGAAACCACCAAGAACTCAACACTGAGGTACATATATTCTCTTCTTTGGGATATACTATTTGCTCAGTGGTTACTGAGACCTTTTCAATAGCATGGCCTCAATTTTGGAATAACCTATAATAATGATAGCTGACATAATCTGTGCTATCTTTGGAGAGGGGAGGGTTGTTGCACAATGAATACCTCAGACTTTATTTTTATCCTGCCTATTATTTTTGTAAATAATTCAAGGCAGCAAGCATACCTAATACTCCTTCTTCCTCCCATTCCCCCCCCCCCCCGCAACAACTCTGTGAAGTGGGTTAGGCTGAGAGAGTATCTGGCCCAATGTTGCCCCGCGGCTTTTATGCCTAACACAGAATTAGAACCAGTGAAGGAGAATATTTGTAGCTCAGAGTTGAAATGAATGGTCCTTAGTGCTCTCTGAGTTCGCTTGTTTTCTTGCAGATGTTTCATTATCCTAATTAGGTAACATCAGTGCTAGTGATGATGTTACCTAGTTAGGTTAATGAAAATCTGTAAGAAAACAAGCTCAAAGAGCAGAATTAGAACTCACAATCTTCCGGTTTCAAGCCTGATGGCTTAACTACTAGCCCAAACTTATTTTTTATTTAAAAAAAGTGTGGCATGCTATGTGCTGAATGCTATTTTGATAAATAAAATATCCATAATATTTTTTTAAAGCAACACTATACAAATAATTACAAAATAGTAAATTAAAGAATTCAGGGCATGAAGAAAAGGAAATACAGTTTAACATAGTTTATACAAATAAGATTCAATACATCTCTATTCTATACTTGCAAACCATCCTATCTTCTAATATGTTCATGAACTGCTTCATACTTTGCCTTTTCATTTTTAAACATCTGACTTCTGAGGGTTCATCAATTCCCTCCAAGCACAAGTTCCAGGACTTTCTTGATCACTCTTCCTTTATATATTTATTTTGCAATTTTCTCCTCTTTCATTCTCTCGCTTTCATCCAAAATGTTTCAATGTATTTCTTTTGTACTTGCCACTCTGATATTCAATCCATGTTTTATTGAACACTCATTAATTCTTGACCCTATTTTTTCTTTGTTTAGTACACATACCTCTTAAGTAGCTATTTGGCTGCAGTCAACTTACATTGATGTTTCTTCACATATATCCAATTCTTGCTTCTATGTCACAAAGTGGCAGAACCATACAACTGTACATAGCTATTTAGCTTTGTTTGACAAACGTTTATCCTCCACAACAGATTATTTACTTTTCATTTCCTTTACACCATTTCCATGTCTCAAATGCCTCCCTCCATTTTCAACATTGAGTAAGCATTCTACCAAAGTATATAATTTACTCCATTTTCTATGTCACACACAATTGCCTTGGTCTTTAATACATTACTTTGCAGCTCTGTTTTATTTGTATATCATCTAGTCCAGGGGTAGGCAACCTTGGCTCTTTTATGACTCGTGGACTTCAACTCCCAGAATTCCTGAGCCAGCACAGCTGGTTCAGGAATTCTGGAAATGGAAGTCCACGAGTCATAAAAGAGCCAAGTTTGCCTACTCCTGATCTAGTCTAACATATATTGAAAGGTACTTGGGTTCTCCTAGCAAAATAACATCATCTGTAAACAGAAATACTGTCTCTACATTAGGTTGCAAATGTTTCGTCTCCATGGGGGGGGGGGACATCTTCAGTGCGGTTTGAATTGTGTTTGGTTTGTTTGGGATGTTGCCTTCAGTTGAAGTAGCTCTCTCGCTCTCAGTGGTTGGTAGGCGGGGTCAGTGTCAATGTGTCTGTTCACTGATTGGTTGC